TGTGTCCGAAGTCAAGACCTTCTAGAGTAATTTTGTTTGTTGTGGCCCAAGTCTTTATCAACCGGTGGTTTTTACTGACGTATTGTTGATACAAGAACTGTAATTAATAGGACCACGGACTTTCGGAACGTTAATAACCTTCGTGACGGTCCCGCGGTTTAGCACCTATACCTCAGAACATAACCACACAAATTGAGTACTTTAAGAATTCAGTTAATTGGAAATATGTTTATGGCAGGGAACCGTTTCCGGACTTAAAATTAGTTATTTATTTCCTTTTCCCCTCAAGCACTGGTATCTATTGCATTGAAAACTAGGAAAAGAATGAGTACACCTATTGAATTGTAATGCCCTCGGTCAGAGTATTCTTGTGTGGGAAGATTAACTACTGGAAGTCGTGACACGAACAAAGCACAGGAATGATTGCAGTACGCATGGTTTTAAATCTGTTGTTTTCGACGTTAAGTTAACCATACTTTCAGTAGAGCGTTACGTAACCATACACAACGCGGTACACATTAATTTGCATGTTTTAAATCATGGGGGATGGGCGCTAGTCAAGCCCCGGGCTAAAATATACGGATTTAGACACTAAAAACATAGTGGGTCCTATTTATCACTGGAATGTACATTATGCTGATCCGTGACCATTATCGTCTGAAATAATCACCGCAGATCTCAAAACTAAAGAAATTACCTACCTCTGGAACTATGGATGTATTGAGTTAGTTTCATTATACACAAAAAGTACTGAGCTGTGTTTTCAAACTTTTCACCGTTGACCTTGTGCCGGTCTCGAAGTTGACCTTGCCTCTGTCTCATTACTCTTATAGATACCACGTGACTCCGACAGGGTCGTTATTATGGTTATAAATCATATCCTGTTTGATAAGTTTAAAAGATATGAAAAACCTACCAAAATCTACATATATCCGGTTTTCATTGTGTGTTTTTGCCACTTCGTTGATAATCTCATATAATAAGACTGGGGAATGATAATTGAGATTGGTTTGCCGAAACTCGAGCATCACGTATCACAAAACTTACAATAATGTATGTGTGTGTAGATATGTAACACGTACTGGTCTTATCCTGATAAATAATACATGGAAACAATCAGGTAGATCTTCATAATGTTATGACAGAATGTAACTGTAACACTACCTTGTGGTATCGCCAAGGTTGTACCGCATGCACTCTGCAACAACAATCATATAGTTAAAGGTATTGTCCTAAACGTCAGTAATATGCTTTTCTATGGAAAACGTTAAAGGATAACATCAATTTGCTTTGATTTTGTCAGAAAGACAGAAGTAAGATGAAACCTACAGGCTATAATGTACGGTGACACATCGTAACAAAAGCTTAACTTTTTTTGTATCTGCCGTAAGACATCAAGGTATGGATGCAATCGGGAACCGTCGGCACTTTCCGTAATCGAGAAATCGTTCAAGGAAGTGCCGAGGGTTCCCGATTGAACATAGATGACAGTTTCAGATTGGAATTGCATTACTGGAACACATACGGTTCTATGAAGTTATGAAATTGTAATTTTGCATGAACTCATACTAATGTTTCTGGGGGGTTTAGTAGGAATTGCGCATTCTTACAATTCGATGTGAACTTTCGTATCGTTTTACATCTGCTCATTGTTTGGTGTTAATTCGTTTTACCTGTGATGTGAGAGTCACGTGTCCTCTATTTATTCTCATAAAGCGTCTGTAAGGTTGGCCCTCAACGTTTGTTTTCTTGTTTTAACTTTTTAATGTGTTTGTATTACTTCCATCAAGTTCTGCAAAGCAATATTGAAAGGAAAGTCCTTCTAGACAATAAACAATCAACTATAAACTATAAACTGTAAACTATCAACTATAAACTGTAACTATAAACTGTAAACTATAAACTATAAACTGTAAACTATCAACTGCAAATTGTAAACTATAAACTATAAACTGTAAACTATAAACTATAAACTGTAAACTGTAAACTGTAAACTAAACTGTAAACTGTAAACTATAAACTGTAAACTATAAACTGTAAACTGTAAGCTGTAAACTGTAAACTGTAAACTGTAAACTGTAAACTGTAAACTAAACTGTAAACTGTAAACTATAAACTGTAAACTATAAACTGTAAACTGTAAACTAAACTATAAACTATAAACTGTAAACTGTAAACTGTAAACTATCAACTATGAACTATAAACTGTAAACTATAAACTGTAAACTATAAACTGTAAACTGTAAACTATAAACTGTAAACTATAAACTGTAAATTGTTAACTGTAAACTATAAACTATAAACTGTAAACTAAACTGTAAACTGTAAACTATAAACTGTAAACTATAATCTATAAACTGTAAACTGTAAACCGTAAAATATAAACTGTAAACTGTAAGCTATAAACTGTAAACTATAAACTGTAAACTATAATCTATAAACTGTAAACTGTAAACTGTAAAATATAAACTGTAAACTGTAAGCTATAAACTGTAAACTATAAACTGTAAACTATAATCTATAAACTGTAAACTGTAAACTGTAAAATATAAACTGTAAACTGTAAGCTATAAACTGTAAACTATAAACTGTAAACTATAAACTATAAACTGTAAACTGTAAACTAAACTATAGACTATAAACTATAAACTGTAAACTATAAACTGTAAACTATCAACTATAAACTATAAACTGTTATCTATAAACTGTAAACTATAAACTGTAAACTGTAAACTATAAACTGTAAACTGTAAACTGTAAACTATAAACTATAAACTGTAAACTATCAACTATAAACTATAAACTGTAAACTATAAACTGTAAACTGTAAACTATAAACTATAAACTGTAAACTAAACTGTAAACTGTAAACTATAAACTATAAACTGTAAACTGTAAACTGTAAACTATAAACTATAAACTGTACACTATAAACTGTAAACTATAAACTATAAACTGTAAACTAGACTATAAACTGTCAACTATAAACTGTAAACTGTAAACTATAAACTATAAACTGTTATCTATAAACTGTAAACTATAAACTGTAAACTGTAATCTATAAACTATAAACTGTAAACTATAAACTATAAACTGTTAACTATAAACTGTAAACTGTAAACTGTAAACTATAAACTATAAACTGTAAACTGTAAACTGTAAACTATAAACTATAAACTGTAAATTATAAACTGTAAACTATCAACTATAAACTGTAAACTGTAAACTATAAACTATAAACTGTAAACTAAACTGTAAACTATAAACTATAAACTGTAAACTGTAAACTATAAACTGTAAACTGTAAACTATAATCTATAAACTGTAAACTGTAAACTATCAACTATAAACTATAAACTGTAAACTGTAAACTATAAACTCTAAACTGTAAACTATAAACTATAAACTATAAACTGTAAACTAAACTGTAAACTGTAAACTATAAACTATAAACTATAAACTATAAACTGTAAACTAAACTATAAATTATAAACCAATCTTAACGGGTGAAGTGTTGTCTCTTCCTGGTATCCTAGTAAATCGTTCCACACAACTTTTATTGGAGTGTATACACTGGATCGATGGGAGTTCATGCATAGCTAAGAAAGTTTGTTAACATTTTATTGATTTATTATATCTAACAACGGACATTTTGTTTACAATATTGACAAGAACATTGTGTGTATTGTTTGTGTCAGAACAAAGAGCGACGTCAAAGACTTAAATGATATATGTACTGTTGAAACTGGTGTTCAGACTCTTATCTCACTCTCCTGAACAAGTGAAGTTGAAGTTTTAAGCTTGAGATTTCGGCCTTTCTGCTCCTTTTAAGTAAGGACCGACAGCTCTGAGCTGGGTAGAGATTGGCGGTAGGTTGTTTAACACCGTCGATTTAATTCAAATAAATTTGCGGATGTTATCATTGGATTATCAGAAATTAATATGATGTATCATGTGGGACCTTTGTAAACAAGCGTTTTCAATTGACAAATAAACAGGTAACTCTTTATGGAAATATACATATCTATAACCATGGGAATACACTGGTTTTAACGTACAATACAAATCACCTGACAAAGAAATATACTACATTTTTTGTGTAATTGTTTACGGGGAACAAACTTCATCGTTCGTAAAAAACGCCGGGTCCTTTTTATAATCTGTCCTTATTAAACACATATATGCTGTATTTCTCTCCTCCCGTACACTAAGTTTTCTGCTACTGGACAAGTCCCTCGATTTAGTATCCGATTACTATGAAACTTAAAAATTATAGTATGTAGCTGTTCGTGTAAAGGGGCATACCAGCTAGTCAGATGAATATTTTCAGAGTTATTGCCCTTTCTGTTTGTATTTAGCGCTACAATCATGTCCGGGGGTAAAGTCTCACAGTTTTCTTACAGTTTTCTTAAAACTTGTCACGGGTTACCAACATTACATGTAGCTCTGCAATGTTTATCAAAATCCAATAATTATTGATAGGGTTATCCTCCCTATGCGTAACTTTGTTTCTTATGTTCTGCTCGACCGTCTTGAAAATTGGTAAGGCGGTTTACCACCACGTATAGTAATACTAGTGTATGGGTTGTTGCTGAACATCTTGTTCCTTTGGGCTTATACAGAGAAGACGCATATACATATATTGAACGTGCAGTGTTGTTTTGAGTTAGAATTAAGTTTTGAATAAGTTTTTACATATACTGTTCATTTTGTACCTTAAGCGTAATGCAAATGATGCCCGTCTTGCATGGAAAGCAATTCAATTGTATGCCTATCATAACGTTTTTACCTTTTACCATGCAGAATACTTTTTTATGATTTGTTAGGTGAAATTCATGCAGACATGTAGATTACATTAGTCATTTACGCTCTGACAAAATGTACTCGCTTCATGTCGACAAAAAAGACAAGTGCTGTCCCATTATTTACATTTGTGATGCTTTTGTATTTTAATATTTACAAATAAAACAAAAAAAGGATAAATAAAAAATCTTTTTCAGAGAAATTACAGTCAGTTGGAGAAGGGTAAGATCGTCATCTACACCTCCAGTATGGCGATTGTCCGGGAAACGTACGAGAGATGCATCCTCGCCAAGAAGATCCTCCAGACCCACATGGTCCGGTATGAGGAAAAGGACTTGTTTATGAGTGTTGAGAACCAGCGCGAGCTTAGAGAGCGTCTAGGGGTCAACGAGGTGGTGCTACCACAGGTCTTCGCCGACGGCGTCGTTCTCGGGGTGAGTGACCACTCCAATGTTATAAAACCCACAGTCCATTAACGAAGAAAAACATATAAATTGTTTAATATCAGTTTTCTCGTGTTTGTAAAGTTCGTTTTCCTCTGTATGACTATCAATTTCAATAACTATTAAAACAAGAAAGAAGTGAAACAAAGAGTCTAAATTCACACCCTATCGGGAACCGACGGCACTTTCCGTAAACGAGTACTTTCCTATTTACGGAAAGTCCCGAAGGTTCCCGATTGAATACACATCTAGACAATAAATTCTTCACGACTAAGAACCTAAACGTAACTCAAATGGTAACATGATGAAATGTCAAATAGATGATGGCAGCAAAGATTAACTATACTTATTCTGTAAGTACATGTATACACAATATCAAATTACGAGGTTTCGGGGTGTGTCTCAAACCCGTCATTGAAAAAAACGTGATGGTGTCAAATTTGGATTTGTGTAGCAAAATCCACAGATTTGTATGAGGGAGTTTAAACTGCGCACTCGAAGTTTGTAATCCATGCGTTCCTCCAAAACGAAAGTTCCAGATAAAAGAAAACAAAACCCAACTTCCTGGTATATTTTTATGCATCATAAGAACACGATTTAGAAAATAATGATCTTTATGGGTTGACTGTCTCGGGTTGAATAAAACTTCCTAGTACAAATGACACAGGTATATTAGATAGAATACCTACCCGATACACACGGAGACTGTATATATATGTCTTAGGTCTATTGCAATATTACCCACTGTTTGAAAGACTTTTGAAACTTTTAATATTTATAAAAAGTACATAAAAACGACAAGTCTTCATAAAAAAAATCAAAAACAATAATAACATAGAAAAAAACCCAGTTAAATACGTACATTTGTAGAGAATTCTGTAGAGTTACCAACCGCAAAATTTGAAAGTTTAGGCTGACAAAAATTATCTGACGACCGCAAAGCAGGTCATGGTACCCCCGAACTGTCATCTACTTTTTGAAATGCTTTTTTAGCACTAAACAATTTGTCCTATATTGGTAGCCGCCATTTTATTTATAGAAATTGTAACTGAACAGAAATGTATTCGATTTAGACAATATATGTTGGATGTTTTTAATAACATACTATTTAAACTTACTCTACATACTCATAACAAAAGTTTCGAAATTGATTCGGACACCCATATTTGGTCAAAGTTCTGTCCGACGATAAACTGAAAACAAAGACTTTTTTTTAGAATACGTATATGATGATAAGTTTAGATTACGTATATAATGATAAGGAAGAACCATAAATGAGAGAGGGAGAAAAGGAGAGGATGAAAAATAGAAGAAATAAACCGGCCAAAGCTAATTTAATTGATCAGTATAATTCGTTTTATGTGGTTTATTGTGAACCATGTCCTAGCTTCGGTACTAGATTTTGCTCTGGTTTACACATAATATTTAGTTTTAAATCTTTATTACTATAATTTTTTTTTTAATGACAATTACAGCTTGTTCTGTTATACTTTTGAATAAATACTCTCAAACGTTGCTATATACAACAATAATAAAACAATAACTTCAACTTGTATACAAACATCGTTTTAAAAAGGGCTGATAAATATGTAATGTTTAAGGTAAGGGTATAGTAACATAAGACCTGAGTTTGATTTCGATATCCTCACGTGGTGCTACAGGTAATTGATAAAAACACATTGTTTTAACGAATATCCTGTATTATATCTAAATATTTAAATGACGTCATTAGCATCTAGCATACGTGGAGTTTTTGGGAAAAACATTAGTTTTATAGCATGTCGTTTATATAGATAACATACAAAAGAAAATGTTGTGTCTATTTATCTTATTCAAACGGCACTTAACTTTTACTATTGAAAGTGTTTGATATGTTAAGTAAGTGTCTGTTTTAAGATGCATAATGGCTTCGTAGACCGACCGTTAACCTGGAATAAAGCCTGTACTTCATTGTTGTTACGACCAGGAACCCGTAATGTGACATTAACGGTTAAATCACGATTCTCATTCCACTTGTCTGTGTAGATTATGTCATTCTATCTTTCTCTATATATAGTCGATCTGTTAAATAATTACAGGGCATGCAGGAACTCGAAAACTTAAACGAGGAAGGAGAACTTCGGAAAGTATTCTCTAACTTTACCGTAAGTATGTAATTACAAACCCACGACCACGGGTAGAATGCACAGGGACCTGATAATTTGTTACAGCTATAAACCCCTAAACCATGTAAAATTACTCTGAACACCCTAGTTTAGGTCCAAATATAGCTGTAACGAATTATCAAGTCCCTGTGGTAAAAAGTGGTTACATAAAATATGTCACGATGGCAACACACTGGGAAAGACTCTTGTGAAATAAGATGAATTCGTACATCTTCTGTTACCTCTGTCTAGGTTAACTTTTTTCCGTCGTGGGAATGCGGACAATTTAGTAAAAAGTACAGATGTGCAGATTCGTGACGCCTACACTGAATTTCCAGTTACAATTAGAGGTCAAAGGTTAAGTAAGTTTGTTAGTTGGGTTGTGATTGCTATAAAATTTATTTCGTGAAACCGACATTGTGTTTTATATTATGTCCCCCTATATCTCTGAGCACACATATTAACATTAGAGGCCTATTTCATTTTAGGTCATCTACCTCTGTCAGCTTGAAACACCCACCTAGAGCATGCCCGCATGACAGGGGCTTTTACTTACAATGTATCTGTTTGTCAGAAGTAGGTCATATTATAATCGTATAGATTGTTCCTTTCAAAAGACATCTATAAATACAGATAAGGATTTGATGTAAACAGTTTAAGATAGTTTGTGTTTTGTGTTTTGTGTCCTATTAAGAGCTATGGTCATTTAAGGACGTGTCTGGTTTTGGTGGCGGAGGAAAACCGGTGTACCCGAAGAAAAAACACCGACCTGCAGACCAACTGGCGACTGCCCAATGTAGGCCTGTAAACCGTGATCCATTTGTGAAGGGCCAGCACAGCCCCATGAACAGTGTTAGTAGTTGTATCATATAATTCACGTATACATCCATAAATTGTTTTATGATGTTTTATTTTCTGTTTCCAGAAAATCAATGTCCGCTCGTCCTGTGAGAAGTGTGGGGGATATCGGTATGTTCCATGTACATTCTGTCACGGCAGTAAAAAGTCACTGAAACGGAACTATTTCACCGAGGAATTTAGTGCACTGAGATGTATGCAATGTGATGAAAACGGACTACTCAGGTGTGACCTATGCTTGGATCAGCAGGAATGACGTCATATGTCGGAAACTATAAGCCGTTGTGATCCTTTAAATGACGCCATGCTCTCTATTAAATCTATTAACGTGTCACTTCTTATCTACATATTATAGCATGTCGTACGGATGCATATACATATGTTGTGACGTCATACATATGATGAGACGAATTCAGTTTGGAAGTGATGCGACGTCAAGCGTGCAATCATGTGATGTTTCCTTCTCTGATTTGTCCTATACTGTGACTTCTTCAAAAACATCTTGTAACAACTGTATTGATTTGACCTCAAAATAATGACGTGACCTGCAATCAGCACGACTGACCGACCTCACACGCAACGTCCGCTCAACTTTGATTTATACTCGATAACCATTGATGACGTCACCTATCATTATCATAAACGTTGGGCTACATGAAATGGGAGCATGGACAATCTTTAAAGCATCGATGACGTCACCTATCATTATCATGTGACCGCACCTGGACAGTCTTTTGACCATTGATGCAACCATCTGTCATTATTATGAACGTTTGTAACACAGAACATCACGCAGATCTCTCTGTACACAATTCTATGTAAATCTGACCTGTTTTATATGAAACATCTCTACTCCACAAATGCTTGAATCGATCGGATATTCCCCTGTAAAAACAATGAAGTTATTTCTCAAACTTGAGCAAGGCTACGGCTAGTAACTTCGATTTTGTGGTATTAGTAGTAGTCTTGCTCAAGTCCGATATTTATAATTCGACAGAGGTGGGCCAACCAATTAAAGCACATGTATATTTGGTCATATGGTAATCTTTTTAGACATGTTTAGTGGACTAAATAAATTATAGATCATTTCTCGCGTATATTGGTTTGTTAGGGTAGTCCACCGTCCTCGTGTCTTGATCAGTGAAAAAATGCTCATGTGTCTGGATCAGGAATGTTTTTTTAGTTTCATGACATTCGTGAACCCAATGGCTCAAAAAGCGCAGTTGTGGGCATCAGTCAGCCATTGGTCATTACTCAGTCAGTTGGACTATATTTAATTGATTCGTCAATGTTAAGTCGATTGAACGTAATTTGCTTGATTCGCTTATTTTGCCGAATGTTGTCAACAGCAATGCAGGCACTTGGATTTAGTTAGAACCTATTTTTTAACCACCTGTCTGATATTCAAGAAAAATTATGTCACATGATTTTACGAATCTGTTACCTGATAACGAATTTTTTGTTATTGTATGTTATTGGGATGTCGGATTGACTGTCCTAACAATAATTTTTAAATTATTGCTTTTATATATGTATTTGTTTTACTTTAAAATGCACTTTAAAATTTCTCCTGAAATGAAGACTTCATTTTTTTTTATATCAGTCATAAAACCTCAGATGCACAGGAAGATTATCTCGGCTTATAAAACGATTAACAGTCTAGAACATTATTATTAGCACTTTGCGAATGTCGAATATTGGTACTCTCTATGTCGGTGTACTCTAAATGTCGAATATCGACTTTGTAGATGGTGTACCCAGAATGGCCCTAGATATGCAGGTTGGTGTACTCTGAATGTCGAATGCTGGCTGTATGTAGTTAGTGTTCTCTGAAAGTCGAACGAATGTTGGCCCTAGATATGCAGGGTGGTGTACTTTGCGAATGTCGGCTTTGTGTGGGCGATGTTCTCTGAATGTTGAACGAATGATGGCCCTAAATATGCCGAAAGTTGGTCCTGGATATGTGGTGTATGCTGAATATGGAGTGTTTGCGGTATGTTCAGGGTCGGATCCAATCATTAATGAATCACTGGATCCTAATACTTATATAACATGTCGGCCGTCTACTTATTCTCATTCCATTCATTTTGTACTGTAATATCGTTCTAACCAAAGCCTTGATTTACACCGTTAAATGTTGTTTTTAATGGTTGACGTACATACGCTGTTGTTACGGTCCGTGCCAATGTAGGTTATACGTATGTGTTAGGTATGTGCTGATGTCTTTTTTAATTCGTATTAGCTTCATGCTTCGTTCGAAAAAAGATATTGGAAAATATCTTGATTTTGAAAAAAATGCCTCTGAGCTTTAAACTCGCGGTATTAGGATATATTGGTTATTTTTTTTAATGTTTGTGTGATACTGTTCTGAACTAATTCTTTTAGAAAATATTTGATAACCTTTGCAATGAAACGTGATAAGTTCTTAACTTCTTGTTCACGCGCAGGTTAAGAAATTATCTACAACCTACAAATCTAAAATACTACAGAGTTCTAGTCATAACACATGATCATATAGGTACCTATATCGCGAATAAGAGAAACAATATTTAGCACATAATTATTTTTCTCGGCAGGTTCCCTTCAGTTCAGTGGTGGAAGGTACTGTGATCGGGGCGAGTTGTTCCGAATGTTATAGTCTAACGATAGGATAAGAAGGTACTCGAAAAGTCTATAGTCTGATGATATAGGACCAGCTGGTACCCGAAATGTCTCTAGCCTTAGTTAAGATACAACCAGAGGGTACTCGAAAAGTTCTAATGCGTCTATGCACAGACATTACTGTATTGGAGACGTCTGCTACATACAAGTATTTAGGACATTACACATACTCCACAAGGCGAGATATATGGCACCCAGGGACTATGCTGACGTCATAGTTTCGTGACTAGTGTAGTACGTACTATATATTTATGTATACCGTAAAACGTGCCAAACACCTAGTTGAATTACTGTCACGACTTTTACAACATACAAAAGGAGACCTCTAAAGTTCAATAAAAAATCAATCCAGGTGGTTAGCGATTATCATTCAAACAGACAATCGTGAGCCATGCAGAAAATTAGGACACATTATGTATTTCCATCGTACTGTCATTTAATATAGCATTCCCCCTTAATAAGAAATGACACTACGTTAGAACTATGTCTCCGTGGGTAATTATGTAAGAGTCTAGTGTATTTGCATACACACCAGTTCTTTAAGGACCATTTGCAGGGTTGAAATTGTATGATAGAAAAAACATAATTGTTCATACCATTTTCTGGTTCACGAACGCCTGTGATTATGCTATTACAATTCATATGATAAGCAGATAAAGAAATAGAAAAAAATGCGACTGCCGAATCAGCATAATATCTTTCTGATTTGTTCACAGACTGCTTCTTTTAAAATGATTTATTATGATTTTATTTCTTCATTGCACTCTGCTGTGCTGAAGAGGTTGGATTTTCTAGATACACACAGACTGAGAACCTCTTATTTAGAACTGTAGATACGAAATTTACAAGTGATATGTACTTTAGTGTGGAGATAGGTGCCATAAAGTGATTTGTGGGAGGATATAAAGTACACGTGGGGTATATATCGACTGACACGAGTACCAGTCGTATTTAAACTGTTGTTCTGATATATTCTCTAACATGGGAAATATTTATTTCATCAATGGCAATTTATTTTTTAGTTAAAGTGTTACATTGATTCATTTTGTACGAAAATACATCTGTTTATGAATGAAATAAGTATAAAACGTGTATATCAAATTATTTTGTAAAATAAATGTGAAAGTTATATTGCGTTTCCCATTTAAGGCTGGACTGTATTATTGTTATAAATTATTTAGCCGTATTCATTACCATGCTTGTTGTTTTTCATTGGACCTGTTCCGACCGGTTCGTCTTGCTAATGGGGGCGCACAAGGTGTCGTCCCGGGCGTGGTCTAGTCTCGGCATGGGCATACAATGCAATCCGTGCGATGTGTTCAGGCCGGGAATGGGTTTAAGCTCTTGCCAATAAAATCTATTTTTTATTTTAAACGAGTTTGTCTTTTCCCTTTTTTTTTATTAAGTTTAACGACACGTACATGCTGCAATCTGTGAAGGTCTCCAGAGACTTAATGGTGACACAGGAAATACAGGCGCCTGCCTGGTCGTTAGGGTTTTATGTATAGCAGCTTTTCATGGCTGTACCGATACAGGACCATCACACGTAACACTCTTATAACCGACCCAAAGTGCTTTAACAAGAGCTAAAATGTGTAAATATCGATCAAATCTAAATAGAAAACTCCCAATTTGGAGAACCCATTCAGGGTGTAAATTGTGTATTTATACCATGCTTTACACATCAGTAGGATATTTTATTTGTGTAAATTATCTCCCTTACATATGTGGTTTCAGTTAATTCCTTTAGTTTAGTTTTAAACATATTTTATTTGAATTGGACACAAATTATTACGACTGTAGTTATTTCCCTTACACATCCAGTGATTTCGTACATAGTTATCTCCCTTATATTTTGTCGTTGTCATCGATATATTTCGATTTTGTGTATCGCCATCATCAGGTGCCTCGATGTTTTACTTAAGGAGCTGCAAACTGCAATGCATATGTCGTCTCTGTACGGGCTCCACGAACCTCGACCCATATCTACAAAAAATATATTTTCCCTTTTTGGACCTTTCGACCCTCTCCCAAGATAACCCTCGGTCTCTGGCCTGTCACTGTCTCTCTAACTCTAAGTACATTAGTTTAATTCGATTATTCGGAGTGACATAACATTCGAGTACCACGTTTATCAGGAGGAGAGGTAAATAATCAAGATATCATCGTTTGATGTATCAAAATCAGGACCATTTATCAATACTGAGTCGCCTGGTTATCGGCAAATTCTATGTAATAAACAGATTACACTGTAGCTGAAAGTTATGTACAGATAATGACGTCATATATATATACATGTCACCTAATTATAGCTTTATCAGAGGGACAGGGATATAAGGTCAAAACTATGCAGGTTTCTTTTAGTTTAATATAATACATTTGCAAATATAGTTAACCAAACATATATTTCCAAACGGCTTCAAAGTGTTCTCCAAGTAGACAAAATTATGATTTGATATCTTCACTGACGTCATTTGACCTGATATGACATAAATAAAAATTAAAAACGCAGAAAACGGTCGAGCTTTTCCTGGCTATCAAACCATGTCAAATTTCACGGGATTTCCTAGTGTTAGCTGTCGATCTTACGTGACCACCTCATTATACTTTAAATACTTCCGGGTCAAAGGGCAAGATGATTCACTTCTTTTTGTCTATGAAGTTTTACAGTCCTTTTGGTAAAATTAAGTGTCATTAGATGACTATTAAGATAAATTCCGCCACTACCCAAAATGATCACCATACATGGATTCTCGTTATCAGCTGTAACGGTCCAAAGAGTGTCACATGTGACATGGATGGATGGTATTCGTACACCCAGAATTATTGGATTGGTATATTTAACTAGGGTCAGAGATGTTCGAAACTATACATAAACGTTGTACATAAACATCTAACTGATTGTAATGCATGCGTTTCGCCTGTTTCTTCTGCTGGTATTCTGCAAATAGTACAAACAACAAGAGAGCATTTGGCGGGAAATCACTCTCATTCCCGGTAAATACATTGGACATAGCACAACTCTGTCACCGGTACCGTAAGGTTATCTGAGCAGAAGGACATTATTAGACAACAAGACATACGTCTTGGAACAAGTTGCAGCACAAATGCGGTACATTGTAAATATGTTGGAGTTACCTCCCTTTATCCTCGTGGCTCGTCATACCATCAGTATACGGCTCTACTGGTGTAACTGGTATACACTCCCCGTCTGTACCAAATGTAAGTTTTTTACCTTAGCCTGCCAACAACCATGTAACGTAAGAGTTATGGAATCAGTTTAACAGATGGGACAATAGCAATAAGATTTCATTATCCCTTGCGTCTGAGAGACATGCTGATTTCAAATGAAGACTGCAAGCGTGACGCACAAACTAGCCTCTCCGCACATAAAATCTTTTAATTTCGGACTTCCATCGACCTGGAGGAGTTACTCAAATTCGTGCTGGGATGCGATCTCTTGACTGCTGCCTGTTCGTTTATAGGCTCGAAAGTTGTTATAAATTGCGTATTTTGAGGCAGCTCGATGTTCAAGTTTATGTATTACGTGATTTTGCCATCCAGTTCAATTACCTGCTGTTACAAGCCTATCTTAAAACTGTGGTAGTTGGTTCCAGTTATCTAATGTGTCAGGCAAGTTACATGCTGGTAAACCCGAATCCTTACATAGGGACCACGAATCTTCAGGAATGTCCTATTCGGCTCATTGTGCCTGCTGTAGTTGTCCAAGTGATATTGCAAAATGATGGTGGACTGTCAGATACATCATGATACCCCCGCAGCGGAGAAAGTTGGCTACTTCAGCTAATGGATTAGTGGTCGTTGTACTCGGTGCGTGCACTGCCAGAATCTAGTTTTTGGTATTGTCCATACTCTTCTAGAGGACAGGTAAGTGTCTGGTAGCAGAATGCCTTGGTGTTCATTGAACACTGGGTAATGGTCCATAGAAAAAAGTTTGTAGTGCCGTTTGCGTATTTCGTGAAACGGCGGGGTTCCAGATTAGTGGTTTCTGGATTTTTTGCAGTGTCTTCCTTTTTAAGTTCATGTTTATTAATGTTGTAGTTGGATCGAATTAGATGGCGTCTAGTTAAACCCACGCGCTGATGTTTCTGTGTTGGAACTCTTTGGCCTAGTTCTTCTGTCTCGCGATTCCTTTTATTCTGCAGACTGTCCTTGTGTTTTATGCTGTCTGTACGGAAGTCAGTCTGTAAAATGCCTTACTGTGGACAAAGACACATATTAGTAGTTAGTTAATAAATAGGAGGAATATAATTGGTCCAAGAACTCTCCCGCTGTACACCAGATCGGTCTGGTACTGGTCACTCCGGAAAGAAAGTATCTTCTTTTCGCAAGTCACTAATCAATTCAAGAATGGACATTTTCCTCCTCCCGAAACCCCTATGGGGACTCATTGGATAAGGATGTTAAGAGTTGGTAACCAGTTTGGTTAGCCACTAATGGGTAACACTCTAGACGTTATTTCGTTGGACAATCTTCTAAGAATGACTTCACGTTTCAATGCTTTGCTACGTCATCTTCCATTGTGATATCATGGTTTAGTATCATGTTTTCTAGCACTCAATACTTAATTCTCAAATTGTAAAATACACTCGGTAAGCCTCGTGGCTTCATAAAATTGAAAATTAACGAACCTGAACTTGATAAGCGTGATAACCAACCAATCACTCGTTGGGGAACATCTCCGATAGTGCTTTTTCTAGTGCAGTATCACTTTTCTTGAAGAGAGGCATGCTATCGCCCTCTCTTAGGTCGATAGAAATTTGAGTGGTAGGTTTGAGGCGGCTTGAAAGAAGGTCGTCATCCTATCGCAAAGCTAGGTTGAGTCGACGCGTTTTTTTAAAAATCAGTATATGTATATGAAAATTGCATGTTTAAGTAAAATATGGGGAAAACGTTAAGGACCAAACTGGAACTCGGAATATACAAGGGAAAAAATAAAATGACATGAACTCGGAAGAGAAACCATAAGTTCCATAAGTGTAAGCGATTACAAGGAAGTCTCCTGCCATACACAGGGGAAACAATATCAATTATAACGTTATCCAGAGTAGACAGACACTGGAATATTGTGAAGTAAATATGTTTTTATTTAGTTTGAGAATTAAAGTGAATTACGTCATCAGAGCAAGCAAGGTATCGGCTTATTCAGTGTAGCTTAGACATGCCCTATTGTGAAATCAATGGCCGCCTATACTAAACTGACACGATGGGCAATAGAACAATTCATCACACAAAATGCCCCAGACATGCAAATACGTAATGAGCGCAACCTAGAGAAATGCATTACGACTGATGTGTTTAAGTGTACTGCAAATAATTGTAATGACGACTTCAAATAATATAATATCATGCAAATATTGAACAGTCTTTCAAACTACACTTGCAGTCAAACTGTTGATATCTCTGCGTCAACCAGGACACGACAAGATTCTCTTCATTCGCTTCAAGTGCCTTTCAATAGAATTGCATTAATTTCTCAAGTTTAGCTGGACTGTTTCCGTTTACATTAATGACTAAATCAATCAACGTCAAATGGCCAATCAATCACACTTAAAAGAGTTAAGCTTGTGTGTATTTATCGAGATACATACAAGAAGAAAAAAACACAGCTATATAATTCAATATAATAATTAGCATGGCCTTCACGACATTAAGTTTAGACCGATTTCTTGAGACGTTCCAGGTCGCGGAGGTCCAATTGCTAACTATTATATTATACGAAAGCACGTTATCGACTGCAATAAACTGCGGTGCAATGGTTTGGGTTGACAATGCTATATTGCACATCAGTAATATAGAATCCTACCTGCCAAGTACTTTTTGAATGTAGGCCGTCGCGTTATACCAATAATGCAGCTGTCGCAGTGAAGATCTTTCACTTAGACGACGAAAACAATGAATGACGATACTTTACAATATCCTATGGTAGTTGCCCTCGGCTAACTGATGTCGAAAACACAAACATTCACATAAGTGACTCGCAGTTTGTTCCATAACATTATAATAACCAGGGAGATGGAATTCGAGCTTGTTTCGATGTTGCAGAACGGTTGGAGGTTTTGGAATGAAATGGAGCAGTTATTATCTTGATCCGGGTGTTCACTACTCCATTCTTCATAGTAGCACTAGCCTGTTTTCGTCTCGACTGGAAATTCTCGAGTTCCTTGAACTTGACTGTTGCATTGCTATGTGTGGCTATTTAGTACGTATTCGATAATGGATCTTGCTGCTCTGCTTTACGCTCTGTGTTATACTGTGTTTCTTGGAAGTTGATTGTCTACTGCTTATTTCATGCTCCAGCTTGGGCTTACTATCTTGTTGGTTGTGGCAAGTGGCTCTTACATCTATGGGCCAGGC